ATTAGCGAGTATTGTAAATTGTTTGTTGCACAATAAAGTTAATTGTACTACAATTTGGTCATCGTGAGCATTTATTTAACAATCCAGCGATACGAATGTTGTAAGATTACTGTGGTGTAAACACAACGTTAGCATTAACTTTACTAATAATCGATTACTTTGTACTATTACTGAACTTTGTAAACCACATCCCTATATTGAAGATATAAAATCAAAGCGTTCTTTCCAAAAGTAAGCTTGAACATAACACATGGCGTCAGGTGGGGTCAATTAAAATAGTTGCACAACGAAATAACTCAAAAGTAAAAACGCGCAACCAAAGCTAAGCTATTAATATAAAATAGTATATACTACGTTTATAAAAAATTAAAAATGGTAGATGAAGGCAACGCTACCATGTCAGAGGCACAGCGAGTGCTATCTATTGCTACTACCATAGCACCTTTGAACATAAGAGCGTCAAATCTGGCGGCGGAATGGAAGGCTTGGAGTACGCAGTTCAAAATATTTCTGCGTGCATCTGCTTTAATAATCAAACCGAGCAAAGAAAAGTTGCACTTCTCTTGCACCATCTGGGTGCAGAATGTCTAAACATTTTCACTTCGTTTAATGTCATATAGACAGCGTCCAATATGCGACTTATGGAGCAAATGGAAATGTATTTCACTCCAAAAGTCAATATAGTAATAGAGCGCCACAGGTTTTTTACAAAACGTCAATCCTCGGAAGAGACAATAAGTCAGTACGCTGCCGCATTGCAAAATCTAGCAAAACTTGTGAATTCGGGGATATACTTGAAGATCTGGTAGGGACATTTTTATATGCGGTTTATCACAAAAATAAATAAAATAAAGGAGGGCTCTTAAGCGAAGGCAACATAAAATTGCATAAAGCGATTGAAATAGCTAATAGCATGGAACTAGCAAAGAAAATGCAGCCATGATACAACGTGAGCCAACCGAAAGCATACAGGTAGCAGCTTTGAGAAAATCTGCATTGAACTACAAGGAGAAGAGTGCTAGACAGGCTCAGCAGCAAACATCAGAACGTGTGATAAATGTGGGCAAGTACATAAAACCAAATGTCGGCAGAAGGTAAAAAATGCTACACGTGCGGAAAATTGAACCATTTTGCAAATGTCTGCTTCACAAAATGGCGTAAAGGAAACATGGGGAATAACGGGCAAAAGAGATATGTGAGAAACGTATACGAAGAGAGCGAGACAAGTGCAGAAGAGGAAGAAAATGAAGATCACGAGTCGCAATTTTTCGTGGGCGGAATACTGTTGAAACTGTCAGGAACAAAAACTTAACAACAAAAACGAATGTGATAGGAGTGAGTAAAATGTTAGCAGTGGCAGACCTGGTGCGGTGAAAGACTGGAACATTGAGGTGGAGATAACAACGCGAAGCTGAAGTGTCAAATAGACACGGGCGCCAGGCGAACTTACTATCGATCGAAAACTTTAATAAATTAAATATCGGTAAGCTAGAAAGTAAGATATGTCATAAATTTTAACATTCAGCGGGGAAAGATTCCTCTACTAGGAAAAGTCAATGTAAAATTGTTGTATAAAAAAGTAAGTTATTCTGCTGAATTTTATGTAAATAATATTTTTCTGTGGCGATAAGTTCAAGTGTTTTAGCCGATATCATATAAATTAGTAATGAAAGTTTTTTCTAAACCTGAAATGCATATAATGGCGAGGGTTTAATGTAAATAATCGGTATCGGATACCGAAAAGGAAGTATAGGGTACCGAAATCTTTTTTAAGTATTGGGTACCGAGTATTGGGGACAATTCAGCACATCACTAGTCGCCCTCATTCACGCCGCTCTCAGTTGTCAACTCTACAGTGACGTCACGCCAAAGTTACTCTCACGAATTCTGCTGCGATCGGCGCAATCTTGTATTCTATCATTCTTGGTCTGCCACTGCTAACGATTTTACTCACTCCTATCACATTCGTTTTTGTTGTTAAGTTTTTGTTCCTGANTGCGCCCGTGTCTATTTGACACTTCAGCTTCGCGTTGTGTATCTCCACCTCAATGTTCCAGTCTTTCACCGCACCAGGTCTGCCACCACGGTGGAGAGAATACAGAGGTGGCGCCGATGACGATACCGCTACTCGGCTCTCAGTGATTTTGACAGAATCAGCTGTTTTGGTGACGTCACAGTAGAGAAGACAGCAGTAGTGATGTGCTGAGTCAATACTTTTAAGTACCCAATACTCTCGATACTCGGTACCGAAACANTCCACCTCAATGTTCCAGTCTTTCACCGCACCAGTTCTGCCACTGCTAACAATTTTACTCACTCCTATCACATTCGTTTTTGTTGTTAAGTTTTTGTTCCTGACAGTTTCAACATGTATTCCGCCCACGAAAAATTGCGACTCGTGATCTTCATTTTCTTCCTCTTCTGCACTTGTCTCGCTCTCTTCGTATACGTTTCTCACATATCTCTTTTGCCCGTTATTCCCCATGTTTCCTTTACGCCATTTTGTGAAGCAGACATTTGCAAAATGGTTCAATTTTCCGCACGTGTAGCATTTTTTACCTTCTGCCGGACATTTGGTTTTATGTACTTGCCCACATTTATCACACGTTCTTGATGTTTGCTGCTGAGCCTGTCTAGCACTCTTCTCCTTGTAGTTCAATGCAGATTTTCTCAAAGCTGCTACCTGTATGCTTTCGGTTGGCTCACGTTGTATCATGGCTGCATTTTCTTTTGCTAGTTCCATGCTATTAGCTATTTCAATCGCTTTATGCAATTTTATGTTGCCTTCGCTTAAGAGCCTCTCCTTTATNCACCAGATCTTCAAGTATATCCCCCAATTCACAAGTTTTGTTCAGATTTTGCAATGCGGCAGCGTACTGACTTATTGTCTCTTCCGAGGA